GGTTCTTGATCTAACTTCGAGATTCATCAAAGGAATAGGTTGGGTTGTCGATCAATGCGCGCGCAACATTAGACAAGGATAAAGATGGCTCTCTCATTTTCTCTCTCTTTCTATCAGCTCACAGTTCCCATCAAAGGCGCCGCCAGGTCTCTCCTACTCTATGTATATAAACTCTTTGGTTGCAGCGGGACCACAGTATGGCGGGACTTCTTTAGTTCTTTCTTGATGAGTTTTAGAACGCAACCGGAGGAAAGAAAGAAAAAGGTTAAAATCTCCTCTTTCGAGAAATATTATTTTTTTCAATCGCATGTATTTCAATTTATTGTCCACACACATTTCGCGAACTCTTGCGTTCTATGATTGCAGGAGGTATATCGCAGCTGAAATTGACAATAATCTTATGTCATGATTTATCATATAATTCGTTATTAATATTCGTCGTGATAGCGAATATTATCTGTTTTACAGTAGGTCACTTGAGCCATGGGAAAGGTTTATTCGTTGTTGACACGACCCCTTCGCACGTTCAATATCGAAAATCGTGCGGAGAGAATTATCTCCCGAGACAAGCCAATACCTGCGCCTCAATACCCGGCCACGGAAAAGCAAAAGAAGCTTTCAGAACAAAGTAACGAATCATCAATATAATATCCGTCCTAAATCCATAATTTCGTGACTGTAATTTAAAAAAGTTTCAAGCTATTATCAACTTTGATCAGTTTTGTCACGTTGTGTGGAATTCTTTTCTGTTTCAGTAAATCCACACTTCTTGGAAGACCACTACCAGAAAAACGTACAACTTGATCAACGACTGAAGGATGTCTTCGTTACGTCGACAGACTCGCAGGTATGGACTGACATTTTGAAATTTGTATCTTTGGATATTGCATAAATGCTCCTCTGTTTAATATGATTGTTGAACACGAGAGTAGATTTGATTATCGAGCAAACGAGTAAAGCCTCGCAATGTTGTACAGGTGAAACAAGAGCTTACAAAGGAATCTAAGCTTTTACCTCAGAGCAGACATAGGTGGGACAATGATTCTAGACTTGAGTCTTATGAATCTACAATGATCCCCATGGGAAAGTGCTCATTGAAACAGGCTCTTGCATTTCTTTTGCAACATAAACGCGATCCTACATATAATAGTGAGACTATAGCATCTGAATACAAACTAGATAAGAGAGTAGTAGGTGCGTATAGTTCCTATCTTTCTTTATAAAGTTTTTAACGATTTAACATATTTATTTCATTTATATTCGCATTAGTTCCGAAACATAATAGGTGTAGTAAGTCTTATAAGCCGTAAAAAATGGACCAGTCGCAGTCGAATGTGAAGAGAATAATCGATTATGATTGGCCAATTTCTTACTGCTTACTACATCTATTATATTTCGGGACTTACATCTACATATAACTTGTCAATTATGGATTTATATATTTGTACTTTTTCAGATGATATATTGAAGTATTTTAAACTTTATGTAACTGTCTCGCCGGACAATCCAACACCAACAGAAGAAGATCCAATTCAGGACGCACTCGAGCAAGCAATTGAGTTAAAAAAGAAGGATAAAGAAAAAGAGTAGCACAAATATGTATGTATATAGAAAAATAATTTATTAAAGTTTATTTCTATGTTTCTCTCTTGTCTAATTACATAATACTCTACATCAACCTTTGGAAATGATGTATCTTAAGATAAAAAAAGTTTCGCTGCAATGCGTTTTAAAACTTGGCAAGATCGACACGTTTTTTTAATTCAATCAGCTTAGTCTTGTGAAATCTGCAATAAAAATCGATTCATTGTTACATTAGTTGCAATGAATAAATTGTAACAAGAGATTTAGATTATTTGAATCGCTTACTTTCTACAATGTGATAAACGGCAACGATTACAACTAAAATATGGAATTGCCTACTGGTAGACGGCATCGCTTGAGAATCAGCGAAGAAATAGTCGCCTGAACCTGTTTCTGGAATGGTCGTAGTTTTCACCATCATCCAGTAAAATGCTTTCATTTTTAAATTCTTCTTCAACTCTGTGCCGACTTCTTTCCGTATACGTTTATTGTAATTATTTAGCCAACGCCGCTATGTAACATAGATATATATTAATATTTTAAAAATCCATTTTTACAATATTTTTATTTTCCATGGTTATAATATAATTAAAATTAAGTAGCTGTAAAGTGATGCAAACTTTAAAACTTACATGCAGTGGAGTTAGCATAGTAATATCAATAAGTTTCGGCTCGTACGGGACCAAAGTGACGTCTCTGAATTTGAGAAATCTTTGTCCATTATGAGGCTGAAATTATCAGCTAATAATCAATAACTAGTAATTAATTATTAATACAAATAAAGTAATATAGCTGTATAGCTTATACACTATCCATAACTACAATATATGTGGTCGTACAATAGATAAAGAATGTATCAAGTATTGTACCAATTTGTCAGCCGGAATTACTTCGAGGATATTCTCTAAGCGAACTCCGAAATCATCTTCTTTGTAATATCCCGGTTCGTTTGAAAGAAAGAATCCTGGCTTCAACTTGGAACATCCTGTGATTGAATTTTTGCACCCAAAATACGACAAGATGATCGGCGCTGCAACGAATATTGTTCCACTAGAATAACTTTCATCAATTGTACTCTATATTCTCGTGACGCAATTATTTTACGAGAAACTGCAGATTACAAACATTCGTGTACTGAAGAAAAGTGACCGATTCCGTGACCAGTCCCATGCATGTAATCGTAACCGGTGCTCCACAACGGTCTTCGCGCAATAACGTCTAATTGGTCTACCGTCAGATCACTGGGAAAGATCAAAGACGCTAATTCAATCGAACCGGTCAGCACTCTCGTGTAAGCATTTCTCTGCTCATCGGTCGGCACTCCAAAGTGAAGAGTTCTGGTCACGTCTGTGGTACCATCTGTCAAATAATTTTTTTTTTGTTTCACGTCTCGATTATTTGATCGGCGAAGAATTGGAGGGAGCATAAAAAAGAATAATTGGACGAAGTGAAAGTCGAAAGGTTCGAATTTTATTGAATTAAATTTAGAATTTAAAATCAATTGCTATTTCCATTTAATTTGACTTGATATTTTTTAGCAAAGTAGAATAAAAGGATTCGCACCTAAGTATTGTCCTCCAGAGTCGAGCATTAATGTGGATGTGGTCCCGATTTTAATATTGGTCAAGTTATTCGGTTCGTAATGCGGCATTGCGGCGTGCGGCCCGTACGCTGCGATCGTTGGGAAGGAAATACCTTTATTGCCACCTTGCTCATAACGAATTTCATTGATCACTCTCGCCACTTGCATTTCGTCCCATCCTTCGGAGTTCAATTTGTACTGTTCTTCCATGTAGGCCAGGAAATCACACATGGCCATCGCGTCCTTCAGATGAGATCTTCTCATACCTTCCACTTCGACTTTGTTTTTCTCCGCTCTTAGATCGATTATAGGCGAGGCCTTAGCTAATAGTTTCTCTGGTGGAATCTAGAAAAAGATTCTTATATACGTGTTAACTGTGTTCGTCCGAATTTCATATTATTGTCATTCAATTCGACTTGATATCAATTTTCACGAAAAATTAATTTATTGATATCATATTTTTTTTTAAAGAGGTATCAATGTGTTAATTCGAGAGAAACAGATGAATCTCTTGCAGGCATTTAAATCAGAATAAAAATTGAAAAAATAGACATTTTTTACATTATTAGAGCATATGTTAATAAAAAATATACATATTAATAATATTTAGAATTAATAAAGAGAAAGAGATCTAAAGATTTAGAGTTAATAAAAAATATACATATTAATAATATTTAGAAAAATATACATATTAATAATATTAATAATATTTGAAATATAATTTACCCTGGCAAAAATAAAGATCGGATTGTAAGTTGAATATAAGGGGAGAAACCTCTATAGATAAATGAAACTTGTAGAAAGCATAAATTGGAACAGTGAAAAGTAAAAGAAATGTTTATTTTTTTTTAAACATTTTTTTTACTTTCCACTGTTCCAATTTAGACTTCTTAAAAAAAGTTTTATTTATGCTTCTGTCACTCTCCGTTTACATTCGACTTATATGCTCCGATCTTTATTTTCGTCAGAGAATCAACGAATTTGAATTATTGATTTATACAATATTGAATTGCACAAGCTAACGCTAATTTATAATCTTTACAAATTGATTACACTGTCCGATATTTTTTAACTTTTTTTCAAGCACATGTTTTTTTGCTCGAGTTATTTTTCTATAGGTGCTAAGAAATGATCAAAAACAATTTTTTTTTGCATTTTTGACACCGTTTTTTAAATCTTTTTTGGAAAAATTACAGTCAATTCACAACTTTTCTCTTTGAATTTTACGGAAAAAAAATCAGAATCAGTTTTCATTGCTTAAGTGCCAAAATTAGTGTCGGATAGTGTTATATAAGAGAAAGCGGTTTCTTATTTAGAAGGGTTTGATCTAAAAATAATATCAGTCTCTGGACAGATCAAATTAAGCTTAACAATAAGCTTAAGATAGTATTGTACTGTGAATATAGGAAAATGGACTTTGGGGATTATTTATTGAGGCTTATAGCCTCGATCGTTTCATTCTCATGCTCGAAATATACGCAAAACCGTCGTTTTTGCAATCACACTTACGGAATTGTATATTTCTTTGGACGCACCCGGCGAATAACCGTACGGTGACGGAAGCCACACTGTATTCCAGACTTGAGACATAGTCTTTAAATCGTACCAAATGTCTGTGTAATTGTGCCATCTGCAACGAGATAAAATACGGTCATTATACAAGTTTGCTTGAACTTATTATTATGGTAATTTTTATAAATTGGAACTGAGAAATCTTGATTTTATAATAATTATGTTGAAAATAAAGCTCTTCTATAATTTTTTTTTAAATTCGAAGAAAACGAATTATTCTGTGAGTTTTATACTTCTGTATTAGAAGTCCGCGCAGTTGTTCCAATTTCTTGTCTTAATTCAAAGTTTCCTGACACGGTAATTTTCGGGCTCTAATCATCACTCACTTGACGCAGTTCGCATGAGAGCAAGAGTCGATTTTCAAATGTATGTCGACGGACCGCAGGATCTTATGACGAGGCGCGTAGAGGTGCAGGGATGCGTTAGTAACAATCGCGTAGGCCCTGAGGACAGGCGTGTGCGGTAGATCGTAGCCGCGGACGTTGAAGAGCCACGCTATCTCGTCCAGCGCGGTGACGACGAGCGCATCGGCCGACGAGAGCTCCATTTCCAGCCGGATACTCTGTACTTTCTCCTGCCATGGTTTGCCGGAGTACTTGTCCGCTAGCGGATACGCCGCGTGCGAATTGTACTCAGGCCGGCCCACCTGCCAGATCAAGTCCACCAGGTCGTTACGGACCGCGACCAATCTTACGGACGAATTCGCTGAACATGAATAGGATTGTTAGTCGGGTTTTGACTTCGCGGTCGATAGAACTTGTTTCGAAACTTGAAAGTGAGCCGAAAAAATTCATTCTATAATTAATCAGAGCAGTAGTCGAACATAGCTTTTTCGATAAAAAAATATACATATATATGTATACGATACATATTTTATAATATCGCGATAAAGAAATTATCCGAAATAATATTTCTCGTTACCCAATTCGTTTTCCCACGCCTCCCATGTAAATGCAGATATTAGTTTTGGATTGGCACCAATACGTACTTCAGATCGATTTTCAAACTCTTGCATTAACCATTCTGTTAACGTTGGTACCTAAAAAATTAATAAAAATATTGAAATTGTTAAGAATATTTCGATACCTCCAGGCACATTTTATAACTGATTCAATGTTTATTATAAATTCTTAGGTTGCTGACAATGAAAGGATTTAATCTCGAACTTTTCGTTTATAATTAAAGAGTTTATTAAATCATTTAAATACTAAATATCTTCCTTTTTGATTATTTATTACATATGACGGTTTAATTTTATTTCAATTTTTATCAATTGAAATATCATACAAGAAATTTATATCTAATATTTTTTAAATACCTAGAATAAAAATATGAAAACTAATTTTATATTAAAATTAAAAAGGTAACCACTCAGAAAGCCCTTCTTCCCATCCCCTTCGCATTAAATGCAAAGGGTGAACGATCATTGATGACAGAATTCTCGAAACAAGTCGAGAATTCGTGTCGTTCTCACGCTCAGAGAAGAGGGCTATTCCTCCTCATCGTGGTTACATCAACTCCCATGTTAGGGAGGGAGAATGAGATCAACTCCTACAGAACTGATCCTGTGAAGTATGATCTTAAAATTTCCCCGCTACAACATCCAATATATAATAGTCGTGGTAAAATTTTAAATACGAGTAAATGATCATCCAAGTAGCCACCTGGTGGATTACAGAGTAGTTAAATTAAAGAGATAGCTAGAGTCTAGACAGTATCGCCATCTGGCGACCGGTGAGGATCTTCATCAGAATAGAATAGAACGGCAACGTCGGCAATAGAAAGCAGTATTATGATTATTATCATTAGAACAAATTGAATTTGTTAAAAAAACAAATTTAATTTCTTTTTATAATCTTATTTTTAACGTAATTATTAAAAAGTTCTAAATAAATTTTAAATAAGTATGCAATTACTTATTATTCTTAATTTTATTGTTATTTATCTTCAGATTTTATTTTAGTAATCGAGTCGTCACTGTATGTACTTATGTATGTGTTAATAAAAGTGAAAAAACATTGAGGACGAATTCATGGACAAGGAAGAAATAAAATGAAATTGAGAATATATTATGGTGGGCAGTTAGATTATTTTATTAATTGTTATATATTAGGTCAATAATTAGAGAGGAAAAATATAACGCACAGCGCGAAAATGGCATAAACAATAAATCGATGGTTGCTAAACATAAAACATGTAAAATTGATATAGATTAACTAAAGATCTTTTTCGATAATGAATACGAATACTGATACTATAATGATACGATAATGATACTTTACGAATAATGAAAATATTTAAATTAATTTACGCACGTTGTGTTCACCTTGCTTCATTAAAATCCAGTTGCAATCTAGCTGATGATTTGCTTGAACATGATATCGACCATCAGTCCAAAATACTGCTTTATCAATAGTAACTAGAGCTTTCCCGGCACTTCCGGAGAATCCAGTAAGAAATTCTCTTCTCATATCATGTGGATCCACGGACTCGCTCTATGTAAAAATAATTTATTAATAAAAAAATCGTTTAATGTATATATTAATAGTTAACAGCTAGACCGTTAATATTATAAATATTATAACAATTTAAAAAGGACTTTTCGTACTCGATTAAACTGCATTAAAATATATGCTAAAGCTAATGTTTCATCTTAAATCGATGTCCCCCAATTACTTCATCGTCGATATGTGTATAATGTATATATATATATATATATATATATATATATATATATGTATATATATATGTATAATTATCAATAATTAACAAATACATTTAAGTATATTTTTACGTTTTTAATTTTATTATTTGATACATTCTAAAAATCTTTTTCTCACTTTGTTAAATTCTAAAATTAGCGAAATATTTATATTGGGAACATGGATTTAAAAAACTGGACACTGCAACCAAAATCAAATGAAACTCATTTAAAATATTTTAGTAAATAAAATAGTTATTATGCTAAACAGCCAAAATAATATAAATTGCCAAATGTTATTTTTTTTTACACTAAAAGAAGCTTTCAAATATGATACACCACACGAATATACCTCCAGAGGGCCATCACGGCCATAAGAAACGAAGCTCACTGTCTGAAAATTTAAGTATAATAATGAAAGAAACAACATTTAGCACGTATAAATTAATTGATTCAAATGTGAACATTGATGCTGCTATAATCAACCGGCTAGATAATTTGATAAAAATATTACATTAAGCTTGGTTTAATTTAATGTAGCATAGCGATAAATTAATAGTAAAATAAGAACAATATATTAAATTACTTTTTTCTCGATAAATATAATTGCAATATATAATTTCGTTAATACTTTTACATCGATTTTCTTTATCTTAATGATAAATGTGAAAGTTGCAAATCCGATCATGTATTATTCACCGTCCAATACGTTTTGTATAATTGAGACCGATTTTTATTAACACGCTAATTATTAAGGTATATTATATATATACAAATAGATTTCTGGACTGATAAAAGTTACAATTATCAATATCAGAAATATAGAGTTAATTTCAATAATATAAAACTCACTTGATGTTCGTCGTCCGATGTGATGATGTAGCCATCGAGAGCTGGCCCTTGAACTGCTGCCACTCGAATCATCTCGGATCTCAGTTGTCTCAGCTGTAGAGAACTGTCGTGTCGGTCGACCGGTTGATTTCCATCATTCGCTGGACAGTATAATCTCTCGGCGCCATTATGGTTACGCTCTGGCTTCAGTAGTGTAGTGTTGGCATCAGCTTTCGTTAATCCTGCAACAAGCATGTTCCATTCTTCACTAACAATTTTAATAAAAAAAAATTTATTTAAAATTGAATTATAAAACGGGAAATAATATGACAGAATATTAAAAAAGGAGAGGAAATAAAAAATATAACAATCTAATTTATGCAAAGCTTATAAAAATTTGAGGTATGTACATATGTATATCTTACAATTAATCATATAATAAATAATAGGTTCAAATAATAAAAATTAGAGTAATTGATATGGTAAATTTATAATAACGTCAACTTTAAAATATAGTAAATTTAGAACAAAAAAAGGGTTGGAGGCGCCGGGTATCGATCCCGGTACCTCTCGCATGCTAAGCGAGCGCTCTACCATCTGAGCTACGCCCCCATGTGCTAGGATACTTCTAACCAGTGTTGATGTAGCTTACCAAGTAACATATACATATTTGTTATTATTATTTAATATTTAATATTTGTGCATTTAAATATTTATGTTACGTATATCATATTATTCATTTTTATTTAAAATTCATCTATAAAATGTAAGTGCAAGCCTTACACATAAGTGATAAAATATATTAATATAAATTTATAATACAAAATCATTATTATTAATATTTATTATATAATATTATTAATTAATTAATTATATTTAGTCATTATAAGTCAACTAAAATAAATTTTTAAATGATACATTGTATGTATCATTTAAAAATCAATATATTATATGTAACTAAAATAGATTTTTAATGATTTTTATCTGGTTCTGTAGAAGGAACAGTCAACAGTTATTAGCAGATAAAGTGTGTGTATATAACATAAAGTGTACGTGTAGTTATCTGTTATTGAGTGATAAAAAAATGTTTTTTAGGCAGAAAAGATTTAAATAAAAATAATTGTTTGACAACAGTCTTTTGATTGACGATATAACAATATAACAATTTTATGTATTTTTTCATAACAATGAATAAAATGAAGATTTACGAAGTTTTTTGTCTGTCAAGTATATAAAGACCGGAGACGCACTTTCGTAATTAAATGTCAGTAAGCAACTTTTTTTTTCTCATAAATATATATATCCATTTCGAAATGCACTTTGAATAATTTATAATTCATATGAGATGTTGGGGGACAACAGAACTATTTATAATTGTATATGCTGTGTATTTTAATATACAATATGTATATATATGTGTCTTAATATTTCATTTTTGTATTTTAATTTTTTTTTAAATATTTCCACGTTTTTTACGCGGTGTATAAATTAAGTTATAAATAGATTCCTCCCCAGAATTTTGAATTCTGACAGGAATTATAAATTGTTTAAAGTGGATTTTATATATTAAATATATTGTATATTGACATCAGAACATTAGACCGTGCAAAATAAAATAGAACAGAAGCGTTTATTTCGAAACCCTAATCAGAGACTTTATGACAGAAGTCTAGAGCAACGCTGAAATTGCACCAAGTCGAGAAAATTTAATTGGTATACAATCTATGAGAGAGACGGTTATAAACGCGACAAATTGAAGAATTGTATATAAATGTTTCGGTAATTTCATAATGTGCGGCGCTTTTAGAGTCCTACGACTCTAAACAATGGACGACAAGTGACGAGTGATGTGATTCAAATTGACTTTATTGAACGGAAACTAGTTTGATTTCTATTACGTGTAGTACGCGTCCCATGGGAATCCAGAGGGTGTGCTAAGTGGTGCTCGTATACCAGGAAAGCATATCGAACCTGGAGTTTGATCGTCCCGAAATGCACGTTTTGATCGTTACGTATGTATATTGAACCATCTCTCACCAGTGTCTTATACGAATAGTATACCATTGATTAAATACACTCGCTTTTCCTTCAACTTTTCTTTCCTCGCTTTTTTTCCCCCCTCTGCATCGAGTCTATCTTCGCGCGAAACGTGCGGATGCAGCGTACCCGCGCGCGCCGCTCACTGACGAGGAGATCAATTTCGTGAACAAATGGAAAACGGATCGAATATAATTCGGGCGGGATCATGCACGTACGACTTCGCGCATTTTATCATTAATGCATCGTAACCGGGTCAGCGTATTGTTTAATTTAATAATTTAACGTAAACATCAAGTAATATTAAATATATTACTAGGGAAGTAGGAGCGTGCAGTAGGAAAGTTTTACTCCGATGTAACCTTACAATTTTCAGCTCAGGTAATTTTCCCTGTAATTTTCCCGTGTACTGTAAAGGTCACGTCGCTCACCCCTCTAACCCTATTGGGCATTCGCGAGTCCTTCCTTATCCCTTATTTCTTCTAGCTGTCGAAGACATGCCACTGGAGAAAAGAAGTTCCGTTGTGTTATACACAATGGAATGTTACACGTAGAGTTTCTATCATCAATAAAAGAGTTTTAAATAGAATAAAACATTTTTTTTTCATAATAAATTCTTAATTATACGGGAAAAATAAGGAGAACTTGTTTTCTTATAGTAACGCATTGCATTCTTCTTTAGACAAAAGAAAGTAAACAATTTAAATTAAAATAGATTTAACATGAGAGATATAAATTAATAAGATTAGAAATATAATGATAACTATTTATAACTTTTTTATAAATGGTAAAATGTTTCACGGTTTTACAGATTGTGTATTAGTGCTTCGATTAATTGTGCGATAAATATAAACATAAATATGTTTAAATCTATTTGTATCGGTTTGGAATCTTTTCGATGCTACGTTGAAGCTATCTTTTTTAAGCTATGTCAAAATAACAAATACCTAATGCGACTATTGTAAAAATGCAGTTGATAATAAATATTTTCTGAATATTTATAATAATAATTATAAGACTGTATAATACATCTAAAATAATTCCACAAAGATAAAAATAATAAAAAGTAATAAATATGTTCTTCTTTACTATGATAGTCTTTATATGTGTTAAGACAACTTCTCGTACAAAACTGCAATACATATGTATACACAATACGCATATGTGCATTAGATTAATATCATTCTATGCGCGTTTTATGCAACAATAAAATAAATACAAGCTTTATTTCTATATGCAAAATATATTCTACTTTCTAGTTTCAGATGACAAAAGTATTTAAATAAGTATGATGTTTCTTATATATTGTTACATGTGAATAATCAGTATACCACGAATAATTCCGTTTCAAGCAAGGATAATTATCCTTTACTATTTTAAATCTAGTTTTGAGCTCTTTTTGTCCTGTAGTTTATTCGGGTCGTTCGAAAGCAATGTATATTCTCGATCGATTGATGTGTAGCTATATTTCGATGTATTGTCAGTATTGAAAATCTATAGTGTACGTAATGTGAATTATACATTTTCAAGACTGGCAATGTATCTGAACATGGCTGTGTTCAATCGATATTTAGGACGCGGCGCTTTCCGAAGATATCAGGCTACCATAAATTTCTGGTGACTTTGTATTGATCTTAAACGTAGGGCAAGGTGGCCTCGAGGAATGACAACCGAGAGGTGCATGGCAAGAAAACGGATTTTTTCTTAATTATTATTTTTCACACATATCGATGACTTTTCGTAAAAAAATAACAAATATATATTTTGCAGTACAAGATTAATTTTTGGGCGTTTTATCTGTCTTGAAATATAATATTATCCTATGAGTTTATTTTAGCGATAAAAATACAAATGTTTAGCTTCTATTAGCATAATATATATCCTGCTTTCTGGCTTTATATGACGAAAGTACTTATAAACATACACAAGTAATAATATTAGATATTTAATGCTATACGTAAATGATTATTTCGTATCGAGCGCGGTGGTCATCCTTTATTATTTTCCTATTTTAATTTAAATGTTGCTCTTTTTGTCTCGCCTTTACTCTTGACCGACTCAAGAACATAGTGCTTTTCAAAAATAGGCAACCACGAATTTTTGATTATTCTCGAATGTAGAGTTAGATCGATAGCCTCAAGAAATGAATGGTGAAGAATCAAGAAGTAAATACGGCAGTAAGAATAATACGGCAAAGAAACAAAGTTTTTCTTAATTATTATATTTTCTACACATGTGCTGAGATAATTTATCATAAAAAGGTAGCAAATAATATATATTTTACGATACAAGATTTTCATACGTTTTATCAATCTTGGATTATAACACCATCCTGTGAGTTTAATTTGTTTTTGTAGCAAAAAAAAATACAAATGTGACATGTCTGTCTTTATAAATATAATGTATCCTGCTTTCTGGCTTCACATGACGATAGTAATTTATAAGAATATATAAGTAGTAATATATAAGTAGTAATGTTACTTGTATAGTGCTACATGCATAAATAATTAAATTTCGTATTAAGCGCGGTTTTTCTTATTATCTTTTGCCGTTTAAAATTCAATCTCGATGATATACTCGTTTTGTCGCACCTTTACTCTCGCTGTATCGGATCGATGTCGAGGTTTGTTCTTTCGCGAGGATATTAGGTTATCATGTACCTCCCGAAGGTTATTCTCGAACGTGCAGGACAAGGTAGCCCCGAGGAAGGATACTCTCAGCGAACAGCGGATAATCGATGTGGAAGAGGCGCATAGCGAGAAAATAAATTTTCGTGGGATATCACGGAAAGGTGAAATTTACTAGGGCAAAGCAATTCGCCTTGGTAATTTATTAATAGGATCTATTCTGAAACCTATCGATTTGTTCACCACTCACTTTCGTGCTTCAAGCCGATCCGGCTGGTAGCATGACGAAGAGTTAAAGCGGTTCCTCTCCGCCGGCGCGACTCCCGTGGCGCAATGACCGTTGCTTGTGACATTTCGAGTACATGTGTCACGTTACTTACATATCGATTCGTTAAACCAACGTCTAACGTTGGATTATACTAATGCGAGGGTAAAATTAGTTCTACTTAAACAGAAGTACGACTGTATAAATAACCAGTATTCATCTAGCAATGAACTTAATAATCTTTAATATAAAGTAAGATACATGTATTCCACAGAATTAAATTCGATCAATGCGTTTATGAATTATTTTTTAA